TTGTGTAATCTGCATCACTATGTTAATGGCCTATAAATCTATTTTGCCTTTAATGATCTACTTCTATTTGACTCTTCTTTGGAGAGAAAATCCGTATAGTACTTCTGCCTATGGTTTGTTTGGTTTGAGGAATCCAGGTAATTCTTTTTAAGAATGCTATTACTTGCTTAGGTGACAAGAGGCATTAAGCCTGTTGTGCAGACCCAGACTCTAGTTAGGCTAGGAATACAAATGCAACACAAGGAAAGGCAGACCTCTAACTTCTAATGAGTGAAGAAGGGAATGCCATTATCTAGCCACAGGCCCATTTTATCTCCCATTTTCAAGCTGCCTACAGAAAAAAAAAAATGCTAACCTTCCCAATATTTATCTGGTGAGAAAAAAAATCAATCCTGTAAACTTGCATCTCTGTTTACCTCATGACATAATACTCCTCAAAAACAAGGTATTTTCAAGAAATCTGTGGTGACAGAAATCAGAAACAGAAATATCTGCATTAGTTACTCAATAACTACACAATTATTATGAATCATAGAAGCTGTATCTGAGGACACTGTTAGTTGATAGATAACAAATGGCTGATTGAAAGGGGAGGGAGTCCAGCTCTGTGTATTTAATTAGCATGTTCCCCAACATGCTTTTTCTATGGTATGCCCACCCTCACTTCACAATGCATATTATAACATTGTGGATATTGAGTTATAATCTTTAACTCTACACAAAATCTCATGAGTGTTTCAGCTTAGTCACACAGACTAAAGAGACAAAGAGAATAATATTGTGCCTACCAAATAAAGTCAATAGCTAATTTAGAGTGCACATTATACTTTAAGTGTGTGCATAAAATTTATCAATCAGACCAGTGATTTAAATGAAAAATGGCATACACTGGCCTAAATCAAGCAAGCTGGATAGAGACTATGAGTTTTATGAAACTGATCCAAGCACCCTTTCTTACCCTGCCAAACCCATTTTTTGAAACAGCAACTTAAATATACCTCAAATTCCAAAACTATATTGGTTCTGCTTACTCTCTCATTTTCTTTTTCTATTATTAATTTTTATTTTTTATATTAATCACAGGTTATTTACTCTGTATCCCAGCCGAAGCCCCCTCCCTCATTCCCTTCCAACCCCACCTTCCCTCCATCATCCCCTTCCTGCCCCTTTCCAAGTCCACTGCTATGGGAGGTCCTCCTCCCCTTCCATCTGACCCTAGCTTATCAGGGACTGGCTGCCATGTCCTTCTCTGTGACATAGCAAGGCTGTTCCTCCCTCGGAGGGTGGGGAGGAAGGTAAAGGAGCCAGTCATTGAGTTCATGTCAGAAATTTACTCCCTCATTTTCACCCATGTTTTTTTCTAGTTAATTTCTACTTATCCAGTAATATTTATTTGTCTAAATTATCTACAGAACAACTTTCTAATATTTTTATAGTTCACAAAAAAGTGATCTTGTATAATCTAATTCATTGATTTGCATTATATCTTCTTCCTCCATCTTCCCCAAAACATCCAGTTCCCTTGATTGGACAGTTGTTATCAGCACATCTCTGTAAACCAGTATCATACCATGCATTAGTACATTAGCAGTGTCGGGATGCTGACACCAGCTACAGTACTGGAATATCTTTTTATTTTACATGCTAACTGAACTTTTAAGAGTCCTAAACATTTTTAAAGTAGTTGATCAACTGTGTTTCTTTTTCATTGTTAAAAAAAAAATACCAGACAGAAGCAACTAAAGTGTTTCTTTGACAGGGAAGTAAACTAAAGGCAACTGGAATATGAAGTGGATGATCACATTGTCCCTACCCTTAAAGAGCAAACGCAGAGAATGCTGGGGTACAAATCACCTTCTGCTTATTCGCTGTGGAGCCTCATCCCATGAAATGGCACCATTTTCATTTAACACGAGTCTTCCCACCTCAATCAACCCATTCTAGAACCTTCCTCTCAGACATACCCAAAGGTCTATCTCCTTAGGTGGTCCTACGTCCTGCCAAGTTGATAGGCAGTATTAAAAATCATACAACAAGAATTTTATTTCAAATAATTGTTATGCTACAAATCTAAGGAAATAACAAAAAAAAATCTGTTCATGCTCTGTACAGGCATAATTTCAGTTGTTAATTATTAATCTGAATCTATTGTCTTTCAGCACAGCTGTAACCCATACTGTATTGACTGGCTAGATATTGCTCTCCTTCAATTTGTTTTCCCAGTGTCTATTTTACCCAGCTTGTAAAAGAACTCCAATATAATGTCTTTTGCATAAAATATATTACTGAATTCAGATAAAATGCCTGAACCATAATGTGACTAACAGGCTTTGAGACATTGTGAATAATGGAGTGAAGTCACTCGTCCCAGCTGTGTAGGCAATCAGATTATTTAACTTCTTTCTAATGCTCCATGAATCCAACACAGTTCCTCTGAAACTCGTGTATTGCTAGAACATTTCTCATCGTCCTCGTCCCCCTGCAGCTGCACAATATATGTTTTCATCTTGGAACACAGTTGTGTCACCCACCTTGGCATTCCATGACCCTCATGGTTTAGACGTCATAGTGAATGTATCATTGTTCCAGCGTGTCTTTCCATGCTATGACTAGTATTATTTGTTCTTTCAAAATATCACATTACTTTGAAGTGATGATGCTAGAATCTTTAGGCTGATTTTTATTCTTGGTCCCAGCCTGCTCACTAACTGAAAATCAGAGTTGAAATGCATCATCATCAGTCCTTTCTTGTGCTTGTCATGATATGTATGACTTTTAACATCTACCCATCACCAGGCATTGTTTGCTAACCTTAAATATTATTTGCATGCATTTTAAATAAAAAATAACAAATTACACATACCTATCCTTGCCCAAAGACATACTTTGAAATGTGATGCACTGGAAAATGGCTAAGTCAGCAAATGCATTTCCTCAAATCCTTACCATGGTTGTGGTAAGGATCTAACAAATAACAAAACCTGCCATTAATTTTTCAGTTGTACAATAAGTCACTAATAACTGGATTTTCTATGTTTTTGCATGTAGCTCTACTGAAGGCCTTCTATCCAACTTTGCATCTTTCAACAGATTCCCCCCAAAGGTTCTAGTGCTACTATGGTTTCATTAATTTTTTTTTTTTTTTGGTTCTGGATGCATGATTTTATCTTCTACATATATGAGTGACATTTGCTTTCTGTATCTGCCTCATCTCATATAAGCCATATTTACTTGTTTTTACAGATGATGGGATCTTTTCCACTTTGTATCTGAATAGTGTCCTATTTTGTATATAGACCACACAGTCTTCATCCATCAATGGGTGATTATAGTGGATCTCTGTCTTAATGAGTAATGCTAAAAACAAAGATAAGGTCACTTGCATTTATTCAAAATACTGATTTTTCTTCTCTAGATATTTACCTACAGATAGGATTATGGTATCACATGGCAGGCTGATAATTTTTATGGACTTCTGTAGTGTCTCAAAAGTGGATCTACTAATTTTCTGTTAATTCCTACAATGTTCAAGAGCTTCTTTTTAATCCACATCCTAACACATAACTTTTGTCTTTTTGATTATAGCTGTAAAGATTTTTTTTATTACCCAGGATTGGTTATATGATAAAAGGTAACATTGTTGCTTTAGAAGATTTAATCATGATTGGGCTGCAAGATGCTCATAATACTTTTGGGTCTTGTTTTTCTCTATGTGTGTGAATGAGCTGAATGAGTACAGTGAATGAAGTGGGCATCCGTCTTCATGTGGAAGCCTGGAGAATAGGGGTTGCATAAGAAGGAATTCTGTCTTTGTGCTGAGACCCTGGACTACCTGCCATACACTTATATAAAACATTTTTCTAAATCTGAAGCGCTCACTCCAGGTTCTGGGATACTCTCCATTGCCCACTGCTGCTGGATGCAGACATCCATTTCAGTGGCACTTTATTGCCAGGTTTTTAAATATCTTCTTTCTTTTGCTGTCTAAATATCAGAGAACCTCGGGTTTCTTGCCTCATCCCTTCCCTGTAAACATTTGCACCAGTCATCTCCTAACTTTATTTGGCCTTAGTTCTATGTTATAAATGAACTTATATGGCCATGGATCCTGAATTAATTCCCTGGCTTCAAACTATCTGTGAGTTCCAGACTTAGGTATTCAGTTGTACAAATGAAAATTCTACCAGATCAAAAATAGGATTACTCTAAGAAAGTTGACTGAAATGACTTGGTTTCCTTAAATATGTTTTTCCCTGCTGTTCTTTTCTATGTCAGTAAGTGGCGTAGCATCAATTACTGTATCATGAAAAATAAGGTGACAATCATGCAATATTTCATTACCTAGTGCAGTCAGCCAGGGCACCAGCAAGGGCTCATCTGCCTCCCAAACACAGTAATCCCCTGGCATATTTTTCCATCAGCCCAGCAATTCTCAACTCTTGGCTGACACTCTGTATTGAACCTGTCTTTCTTCTACTTCAGTTGCTGCCTCCAAGTACCCCACTGTGCAATAAGAATCACCTTCCTAAAATTGTCAACCAGATCTGAGACTGTTTTTTAAATTGAATGCTTGTTTCTCAGAAGACACCCCACACTCTTCTCTTCGCTTCAATGTACTATTCTGTCTCACTACCCTCTAGCAAAGGTAGACTTAGAATGGGAATCTCAAATGAATTAAGAAGTTTACAGTGAAAACTTTGGGGTTAGCTATTGTTCTGCTGAAAAATTTTTGCATAATAAAAATAATGCAAAAACTTTTCAATAATAATACTGTTTTAATAAGTAAATGTTTCACTATACATACTGGGCAAATAAGGCAAGGATGTTGGTTTGAGCTTAAAGGCTGAAGGATTGTTTTGGGCAAGAGAGATGGTTTGGGCTTGGCAGGCCAGGTGATAGGAGAATAGAACAAGTATTATGTCCCAAACTGGGCTAAAACAGGGCCAGGGGTAAAAGCTCATATACTGAAGTCTTCAGAGAGGATAACAGAACTGAGAAAATTAGAAGTCAGGAGAGGTAGTAGAACGGACATTCTCATCCACCAAGGGAACTCTAAAGGCTCCAGTCTTTGGCACAGGGGGTAGACAGGGGTCACAGGAGGCTTGGGTCTTGCCACAGCTTTCCATGTGAGGCTCTGGTATGGCTCCTCTGGCTGCATGGATACAGGGCTGTAGGTCAGTTGCCTTCTTACAAGCGTTGAGGCTCGAGCAGTTGAGGCTGTGGTCCAGAGGCCCAGGCTTTGGAATGAAAGAAACAGCCACTCCATTTTTTATCCTGGGTTTAAAGGCTGACGAAGGCTTGGGCTCTGGTTTTTGTCTTCTGTTTGTCACCTCTAGGACTTCAAACCACAGCGGCCCATCAAATCGCCTAATCCCCTTCTTGCACTGGCTGAGAGCCCTCAGCACTGTCTCCTTGGCACAAGGGTCTGGAAGCTCCTCAGAATGCTCTGCAGGGTGTATTCCCTGGCCCAGAGAGGTCAGGGGGCTGTCTCTGCCCTCACGAGGGGCAATCTTGACAGTCACCGGGCTGCTGGTCCATCCAGGGTTCCGTACACTCCAAAGCCATCGTTTCATATAGGCGTCCCAGGCGCTGGAGAGCTCAAGGCCCAAGGTGGCCTCTGAGGGAGGTCTGATGGAGGACCGCCTCCAGGTCCCCACCACCCTTTGGGGTGTGTGGGGGTTCCGAAGGGCAGCAGTCTTGGGGCCACGGCCTTGCTGAACGCAGGCAGGCCAAGGCCTAGACTTTGTGTGCCTGTGGGCAGGAACAGGCAGCGGTCTCTGGGGAGAGCCTAAAGAGCTGCCCATGCTCACTGCTTTCGGCAAGCAAGGACCTTCCAAGGGCAGAACCGTTGGCCTTAGGCACGAGGCTGCGAGAAGACTGTGGGAATCCACACACATGCTACAGCTTCAAGACACTCGTTGAAGAGTTACCACTGGTTTCTCCTCAGTGTGATATCCAGATTTACTCATTCGGACCTGTACCACACTTTTAGAAACTGTAAAATTCGTACATGTTTGTAAATACATGTATACTGTGGACATAAATCTAGAAATATCTCTATCTATTTGCCCCACAGTACTGAAATTCTGGAATTTTTCTATGAACTTCAATAGATTCCTATTCAGTGAGGAGTGGTCTTGTGTGGCTCTTTTTGTTTAGCATTGATGATATTAACATTTCATCTCTGATGTGGCAGACACCTTATTTTTTTAATTTTTTTAATATTAATTACAGTTTATTCACTTTGTTTCCCAGCTGTCGTGCTCTCTGTCGTTCCTTCCCAATCTTACCCTCCCACCCTCATCTCTTTCTATGCCCCTCTCCAAGTCCACTGATAAGGGAGGGCCTCTACCCCTTCCATATGACTCCAGCCTATCAGGTCTCATCAGGACTTGCTGCATTGTTTTCTTCTGTAGCCAGGTAAGGCTGCTCCTGTCAAGGGGAGGTGATCAAAGAGCCAGCTGCTGAGTTCATGTTAGAGACAGTCCCTGTTCCACTTACTAGGGAAGCCACTTGGATACTGACCTGCTATGGGCCAGATCTGTGCAGGGGTTCTAAGTTATCTCCATGCATGTCCTTGGTTGGATTATCAGTCTCAGTAAAGACCCCTGAGGCACCTCATTTTTATTTACATCCTAAATCATTCCATTGTAAAGAAATTTGCATTTGTTGATCATTTGCATCAAGTGATCCATGTCCGTTAGAAACAATCTTGCTTCAAGCTCTCAATGTACACTAGTTTGTATGGACAAATTAGTCTTGGACAGTCATGGTAATCCTTGTTTTGTCTCCATAACAGACCAAGGAATTGTTCTCAGTTCTGCACAATGGTGATACCTGACCAGCAGCCTCACTCTGGTTTTATTTTTGTCATTTAAAGAGAAAAAGGTATAATGATTTTTAGAATTTACAGGAATAGCATATGGGGTATTTACAGAAGGAAAATTTCTTACATTATAAGAAAATGAGCATTATTCATTTGTATATTCTTTTCTTATCATTGTTAGTAGTGTTTTCTTTCTTCTTTCTTATTTTATTTATTGCAATATATTCACTTTATATACCAGCTGTAGCCCCCTCCCTCATCCCTTCCCAATCCCACTTTCCCTCCCTCTTCTCTTCCCATACCCCTACCCCAGTCTACTGATAAGGGATGTCCTCCTCTCCTTCCATCTGACCCTAGCTTATCAGGTCTCATCAGGACTGGCCTGCATTGTCTTCTTCTGTAGCCTGTTAAGGCTGCCTGCCACCTCAGGAAGGAGATCGAAGAGCCAACCACTGAATTCATGTCAGAAACAACCCCTGTTCCCCATACTAGGGAACCCATGTGGAGACTGACCTGCAATGGGCTACATCTGTGCAGGGGTTCTAGGTTATCTCCATGAATGGTCCTTGGTTGGCATATCAGTCTCAGAAAAGATCTCTGAGGGTGAAAACAGGGAACAGGACAGGAGCCTCCACAGAAGGCCTCTAAAAGACTCTACCCAGCATGGTGTTGAAGCAGACGCTGAGACTCACAGCCAAACTTTGGGCAGAGTACAAGGAATCTTATAGAATAATGGGGAAATGAAAGACCTGGAAGGAACAGGAGCTCCACAAGAAGAACAAAAGAACCAAGGAATCTGGGCCCAAGAATCCAGAATTGCCATTGTGTGTGGCATAAAGTAGTAAGAACGAGTCTCAGGTTTTAAACAAATAAATCCTCTGCATGGGTGGGGGAGAAACTCAGACCTTCACACTTTTTGACAATTATTGGCTACTCTAAGAGAGGGAGTGAGTTTTCTTGAAGGTAGTCCTTGCTGTTCTACTTAAGCTCCAGTAAAAGACTATGTATTCATGCACGTACAGGCAGCACTAAATGAACTCAGAGGGTTTAAAAAGAGAGAGACTATGAAATTGGGATGGAATATTGATGGGGGAAGGTAGTATAACTGAAGTAGAAGGATTATAGGTGTTTGATCAGAGTATGTTATATGCGTGCACGAAATTCTCAAGCAATAAAAATAAAATACAAATAAAGCCTTTTGAAAAGAAAATATAGTATCGATACATCGCTTACACGTTTTTCACACAGAAATAAATTCCCTATTTAATTTCCCATTTTTGTCTAATTCTTTCCACTAAACAATACTACCTATGTCTTCATTGCTCTGTGCTGTCTTCTGTTTGTTCTCTCAAGCCATTGCACTTTCTCATTTTGTAATGGTGCATCTTTGTTCAAAAACTTGGGGTCAAATTTTGCTTATATTTTTCATCACTTCTCTTAAATTCTTCCCTGAGAGTATTCTTAATTAAATGTTTACAAACATCTTTTTATATAAACAAAATACCAAACAACTCACCTATGTACATTTCAGCATTCCCAGACATAAGCACCCACCACAACAGTAAGTTTTAATGGTTCCATCGCCTTACAAAGGAGCATGTAAGTTGAATCACTCATCCTGTTTCCCCCAACCTGCTCTGGGCCCTCAACAACCACTAATCCACACTGTATGTCTACAAATTACACTTTCAAGGGCATCTATTTCTGAGGAGTTGAACCACATGTGACTCTTTCTGACTAGCTTTTTTCAACATTGTTCTAACTGAACCATGTATGCCAATACTGTTGTCGTCATGAAATCATTCTACTGTGCAGATATATTACATTTCATGCATTTCTTCATCAGCAGATGGACACTTAATCTGTCTGTGCATTTGTACTAAGAATAACAGTGCTCTAAACATTTGACTAAACAAGTTTTAGACAAATATTTTTATTTTTTTAGAAAACAAAATTTCTGGGCCATTTGTTAGTGCTATATTGAAAGACTAGAGAAACTGGCAAAATGATTTCTAAACTGGCAGCAACGTTTCTCTCTCTCCAATTGTATATGAGGAGTCTGGTATCTACTGGTGGTCCTCAAACTGATAATCACCTGGCTTTTGATTCTAGACAGTATAAGCTGTAGGAAAAGATACTTTGGCAGAGATTGATTTGTGTTCAATGATTGAACATCTCATGACCTTCATTTCTACTAGCATCTCTTTGTTGAAAAAAAACAGATTCACACCTGTTGTTTTCGCATAGCTGGGCTATCTGTTCACTTTATGTTCTGCATTTTTTTTCAGTTAAAAAAATTCTATGGTAATTTTTCATTGTACTGTGTTTTGTAAAGACACGTTCATACACATACACAGAGTATGTTGATCGTATTATCCCCACATCTGTTCCTTTTGTTTGACTTATTACATGTTCACCTTCTGACTAATACCATCTCATCTACTAGACCACTTAATTTCTACTTTTATGTCATGTGTACATCCTTGACTTTATGTATCTACATGAAATTTAGAAGCCACAAATAAAACTACACTCATTTTTTTCAGACTGGTCTTATTTGTTGATATGATTATCTTCACAGAATTAAATTTCATGAGAATAACACAAGTTTTTTTGGGGGGATGGGGAATGTGAAAAACAGAAGTTTGTTTCTTCATTTCTTTGTTGTTAGACATTTTACTATTTTGTTTAGTGCTACAATAGGGATTTACGTACAAGAATGTCTGTAACATGTTGAATTAAAGTTCCTTGGGTGTCATATCCAAATCTTGGAGATTATGATCTCTCAGTCATGGACTTTTGAAAAGGATTATAGTACCGCCCATGAAATTCCTTCATAAGGAGCAGGTGGAAATTCAATCACAAATCCATTAGTCAGTTTTGACTAGGTTTGCAATTAACTCAATTGAATATGAAACCAACTTAAAAGCAACCTTACCAGGTCACAGAAGAAGACAATGCAGCGACTCCTGATGAGACCTGATAGACTAGGGTCAGAAGGATGGGGAGGTGGACCTCGTTTTCAATGGACTGGGAGAGGGACACTGGTGGGAAAAAGGGAGGGTGGGGTTGGGAGGGGAGGAGGGAGGGAGGTACAGGGGGGATACAAAGTGAATAAACTATTTAATACAAATAATTAAATAATAAAAAATATTTTACAAAAGCAAGTTGCTAGGCACTCTAATGAAGGACTTCTCAATCATATTATTTGAAGTGGGAATATCCACTACCAACGTAGTTGGCACCACAATAGCAGACTAAAGAAATGAAAACCTAAAACACTGTATTTTCTTTTGCCTTTACTCATGCTGGTAAGTTTCTTCATTTTCCTGCTGCGACTGCCACATTCTGTCATTGATACTAGAACTGCCCCATTTTACCAAGAGCTAATATTGGTGTGGGCTTCCATGCCCTGTTTTGATTAATGCTGTGTGAACTCAGTGCTTTGTGAATTCTGGCCAGGTCTTCCACCAACGGAGCTATAAACCCAGCCCTTCCTTACAAGCCATTATTTTGTATGCTACCTGCAAAATAACATTAGCAACAATAGAAATAATAGAGACTAAAAGAGATTTACTCGAGAAGGTTTTTTTACTTGTTAATACATGAATTCAGTTCATATGTCCATAGCATTATGGTAACTTGAAGTTATGGTAACACACATAACTTAATTATGGTGTGCTACTAGGCATACTATAATGAGAATATTTGCGATAAACTTCTGTATTATTTTAGGGTATGTTTTCATTTAAGTCAGTTCAAATTGTATATTTGAAGGGAATTTGAAAGCCATTCGACATTTTTCTTTATTTAAAAACAGTTGAGGACTATCTCACAAAATTTATTATTTGTTTAAATCATCTTATAATTTTGTTAAGATGATAATTAAGATTCAGTAGATACTTTGTGTGATTTTAAATTCTATAATTCTAGCAGGAAAAAAGTTATAGAAGGACCAATGATCTTGGCTGACCGTGA